CCACCCTCACCGTGCTCTCTGCTGTTGCATAACCCCGGTGCCCAAGCCGGGGCGTTAGGATCCAGTCTCATTTTGCAACTACCAAAGCTTGCGGTTCACGAGCTACCCCGATCTCACGACAGCAGTAACTCCCAACCGCCAAACTCAGGATCCCCCTCTCGACAGTGTTAGGGACCGTATATCCGTCTGCACTGGATGGTCTTTCGAGGCCTTGATCCACTTGCGGAACCTTGGCCTACCCCAGGGACGGGGGGAGCAGGCCGGGGAGGAGACCTTGTAGGAGATATCCGTTTTTGTGTTCCTTTACCTCTCGTCGAACTCCCGGGGACGTTTCGATGATTTTGGTAACAAATGCGTGTCAAGCACGGCCATATCTTGTCAGAGAGCGAAGAAACCGGTGTGACGGAGAGTGCCCTAGTTAGATTCCTCCTCACAACCCAGCACATCGTAAGTTGGTGCTCTATAGACCTCGTTCTCGTCAAATATTGGGACAATATGTTGGCATACGATCCCTTGGGGGGTTTTGCGGAAGGGTCGCCCTACAGCGCGATGGTTGAAAGAGTCCGATATGTAGAGCCTTTTTTTCCCTCCTGGGGATGAAGGGAAAAAACGTCGCGCTTCGCGCTCCGCGTTGCTCCGCGGCTCCTTATAAAGAGGTCGAACGAATCACATGGATGGGAACGGGTCTGTAAATGGATAGATTTTATTTTGGATGAAGGATTTGTACAATTTGGGAACGGCATGTACCAACAAGCCTCTGGTATCTTTATGGGAACGGCACCAGCTCCCGAACTAGCGAATATTTTTGCGTTTATCCATGAATTCGATTTTGTGAAGGAAATGGTGGAGTATTTATTTGCTAAACAAGCTGGGACTAGACCGTTTTATCCAGTTGAATTTATTGAGCAGTATAGCATCGGTAGAAAACGGTATACAGATGGCATTTTTACAGCAGTGCGATATGGTAACCAGACTGGGCGAACTATTGAAGACATTATTAGAAGGAGGGTAATCAATATGGTGGTATGTACCCAACGATGGTGCTAGATATGGATGGTGATGACCCGTTCGTTCGTATTACACTAGAACAGTGTCGGGAATCAGCAAACTTTCTGGATATGCAAATAGGGCAAGACATTAAGACTTGTATTGGTATGTATAATAAGCGCCAACGTATGGCTACGTTGAAGCAATATCGGGCATTCCCGCATCGGGAAACAGTGTTACCTACTAGGTGTAAAATGTCGACGTTACACTGTCAAATATGCCGATTTGCTATTAGATGTACTGATATTCGATTTTTTCAAGCTGCCACAGCCAGATTGATGGCTGACATGCTTGCACGTTACTATTCTAGTCGACCTATACGTAGTACTTTACACAATTTCATGTATACGTTTTTTCGTACCTCGCCAGTGACTGCAAACAATGTGGGTATAAATGCACCTACGGTGCGGAATTCATACTGACTGGAAGAAAGTAGAGCTGGGTATTTGGAAGCGAATAGATACGAAGGACTTTTCTTGTTAGATTAGCTTGCGTGCTATCATGTGTTGTTTTTGCTTTGATTATGTTTTCTTTGTTAGGAAGTCTTTCATTCCTTTATTCAGCAATTCATGAAGTGTTGTTATGTTGTCGAAATGTCTATGTGAAAAATGAGAACGCCGGTATGTAATTAATGACGTAAAAATCCCGTTTAGATTGCTTTTGGCGCTACCAAACCTGCACACACATACTTCATTAGGAGCTTCATATTTAGATTATAGCGATCGATGCGAAAATCTGTGGGCAACCGCATATGTGACCGTCGAAACAGCAAGGGGGAACACTGAAAATGAAACGTGTCCCCTGCGATTAGGATACTCGATTTCTGTGCACCTTTCATAAAAATTCCCATACACCCAGGTGACAACGGAGAAATTGGGAATTCCGACAATTTCCGCTGAACCAGAAATCTGCACTTCAAAGAGCCAGCCAGCCACATCTATCTGCTGAGAGGAGCACGCATGCAGTCATTATTCCGTTTTTAGCTCAGGCACCCACCTCTCTTGGATTGCGGAGCTAGCCGGCATTTCGGATCCAGCCGTTGTGCGATACTAATCATCTCCTATAGGACTTGAGGAGGACGGACTGCAAAGCTGTAGTAGCATACTGCACCGCGTCTGCTCCTTGCTGCTGCTCTTGGCTGACCCAGGACTCCGAAAAATCCCCACAGGTACGAACAAACTCCTTTGTGTGTGGTCGAAGGATGGACTGCGTTATGTACAAGCCCAACATGCCACCATGCACAACAAACTGCTGCTGCCTTCACCTGTCGCCGCCCTTCCACGTCTACCTGTCCATGACACATGCTGCCAACTGATGCGACAACACCTGGGTACAACACGGACACAGGGAGTACTCCCCCTTCCCATACACAGGCAAAATTGCTTACAAATTAGAACAACCTCTCATTCCTCCCATGCCAAATACAAATGATGTAGCATGCATGAAAAGACAAACCCTGTCTTTACTTGAGGTCCACGTTGCCTACTAATGGGAGAGGTAGCCATACCTTCTGCCTACACACGGGCGAGATAGGTAACCATACCCACTGCATTTAACACGCACCCACATGTCGGTGATGAAACCTCAACCACACGCCTCTATCGGCGAACACGTCGGGAGGCAATGATGAGAGAATGTTCTCCTGTGCCCTTTGCACATCTAACGACACGAAATTACACAAAACGGAAAGAAAATGGTGAGACCGATGGTGAGACCACTCCCGTGTGTCCGCACATACTTCGAAATGTGTCCGCACGTATGCATACTCCGTACATATGCATACCACACTGAAAATACGTTTGAAAACTGAGGGAGATTGCATGCCCTACGACTAAAAGGGTGCCACACAAAACGCCCGACTACCCAACAGTACCTAACACATTTCTTCTGCACCTTCCCAACATAACATATATGCGACACACAAGACAGCTACCAAACTGTTTTGTTGAGCCTGTTACCCGCAGTGGAGATGTCCCTATATGCTGTCTGGGAAATCGTAGACATACTGGTACTTTCTGACGCTATGAATTCATTGCTAATCTGTCTCAGGCTATTTTCTATAGATAAGAGACGGATTCGTTGTGTCATATCAAGAAAAAATAAATAATAATATGTACCGTGCTCAACAATCAGTATAAAAAAACACATCGAATCGTTTATCGTACAACCATCGAAGAATACATACGGAAGAATGAATATACCCATAGAGCGCCTGGGTGCTATTAAGCTTGTTGACTACTGCTGCTGACTGTGAGGAGAAGAAGGTTTCCCGGCTAGCGATAGACACGTCACACTTGTTTTACTGCTGTATGCTGCTACGTGTGCCTCATCAGGAAAAGAGCCTATCCGTCGAGAACAGAATGGGTGATGATGCCACTCGACGTTGACCTTCTCCTCCGAAAGTCCGAAAGCCGTCCAATTGGATCGCGAATCTATTATTAATGAACAGCCCGGCGTGGACTGTCCGGGATGCAGTGGCGATCGCCCGACTTGGCGTACTTTGCGGTGGCGCAGCGCTCGACGCGCGCGACCCCCCGGCCTCGCGACGGGCAGCCGGTGATGGAAAGACTTTTCTGGTGGACACATTGAATAAGAGACGTCCGCCGAAGCTCTTGCGCGGGCCAGCCGAAAAGTCACCTCTAAAGTCTTGCGCTGAGGGGTTGGGCCTAATCCCGATGTTTCGCTCACAGCGCTCCGGTCCTGCGCTCCCACGGCCCGAGAGCTCAAGCATTTGTGTCTTCTCGTGTATGCCCTGCGCTGGTGCATATGCGTGCACTTGGTTCCGTTCCCGCAAACACCTGCATACCAGGTGGCACCGGATAGCACAACCCCTGGACCGATTTTGAATACTACGACGGAAGCGAATGTGATGTGTACATCCACCGATTGTACAATAATTGTGGAAAACTCTCGACGAGACGGCGGCAACAATGTCACCGCCGCTTTTTTGCCGTAGTGGAGTAATCGAGCCTTGAAAAATGACCAAGGGGTCTGATATCTTCTGTCATTTCACCTACCTATGGTACTCTTTCGGGACGTGGGTGTTGACAAAGTCAAGCATCGCGAGGATGACCCTCGATTTGACATAGATGCCGAATATTTGTCAATCGTTGGTTTATCGTGACGATTGGTCGTTTATTTTTTGCTCGTTTTCCGTTCTTTACATCAACATCGCTTTTTATTTCTGCTCGTTTGGTGCGAGACATCATCATTCCATGATATTGATAGAGCCAGTCTGTGTGGGACAATAGCTCGCCGGCGAAAATCCCTGGTAGCGCAAAAGAGCCATCTGGAAGTTGTAACTGGTTGCTTGGTGATTTTTCTAACAGTTTCCCTTTTGATTGGATTTGAATCCGAAGCAGAACCACAAGCAGAGGGAAGAGCGCACGCTCCAACGACGCAACATGAGTGTGCCTGCGATCAGACTCGGCAAAGAAACGCAGTGTACTACTACATTGCTCGCTGCGAACTGTGGACGAGAAAATGTTGCTGTGGGGCATTCGATAGCAGACAGCGGTCTATGTTGGAAAGAGTCAGTGGTGAAAGCGGCGATCCGTGGAGATTTTAACAGCTCAAGAGGCAATATATTATCGGTAGCCTAAAACGGTAACCACCCTGGGAACTGATGTTGAACCCGATGTACCAATATCATAGGTAGGCAGGGGCAACGGGGCAAGCTCCGAAGAAGCCAGGCGATTGCGGGGGGAACTTTTGCCATGTGATCAGGTTCATCTGCAGCTGATCGTCGTTGGTAGCGTTGGCACCGCCTATATATGTAGACGCGCCGTGCATTGCGTACGCGAGAGCGCGCGTGGATTGCTGCGAAATCGAGGGCAGCCCGCTTTCCTCCCTCTCCCCTTCCTCCCTCCCTTGACGAAACACTTCATCTTCACAAGATTAATTGCAGGTCGTCCGCCTAACACGGGGACACAAACCTGCTTCCCCGTGAAACCATGCGGCAGGACACGGTGCCAATACTGCGGAAAAAAATAACAGCAACCGCAGGGGAAACCACCACGTCGCCGGCACCATTGGATGGGCGCATCGATCCCCGCAGCGGAACGGCATCAACGGTGGGGGCGGCGGGTTTCGACGATGGCGAGGGCGGGAGGCTGCTGGGGACGGCGGGCACGACCGCGACCGTGGCAGCAGCGGACGAGAAGTGGCGGCCGCTTCTTCCGGAGTCCGTCCTCCGAGGTTTAGCGTACGGCATGGTGAATGGTATCCTCGAGCCGCCCATAATGGTGAGGGAGGTTGGGGGTGGGGGGGCGAGATATTGCACTGTCTGTGAAACGCTGGACATGCACACAACCCGCTCCTTGAGGGAGGAGAGGGAGAGATGCTTGTGGATTGCCGTCTACTCCAGCGTCGGTGTTTGGCATCTCCATTATAGGTGTCCCCGCATGCGTCGGATCGAGAGCAAGTCGGTCGATCTCCACAGGGGTTGTCCATACATGGAGTCGTCTTCACGGGACGTCTTTTTTGCCGAAAGATGCACACAGGGGTAGAAGAACTTGACTCGCGGTAGGGAGTGCTGGAGGAGAAGTCGAGGGGTTGGGCGGGATGATTCATACACACTTGGTCCGCGCGTGCCCCCCCACCAATTGGTGATATGCTGTGGTGTACTGCTACGAAGTATGTAGTAAGAACTACACTTGTTTTCTCCTCTCACTGCAAAGACTTCAGCACATCCCCTTCGACTACTCTATGTTTATCTACTAAGAATTACAGCGGCCAGCTAGCACACCCTACCCAAGGCAGCTGATTAGCCAAGTGTGTCGTCTTGGACCACCTGCGTCTCGCTTTGCTTGAGACTATCCTACCGCCTCCGGCTTAGCTCTTTGGCCCATTGCCCTGACCCCGTTTCCCCCCCCCCCCGCTTGCCGTTGACCACTTCGAAGGCGAGCTTTGCCGCGATGATATTTAGGGATCCGGCGTTTACGCCCCATCTTCCCAGGTAAGCATTTGCGTACGTGGTGGTGCACGTACGTAGCTTGCGCCGCGCTTGCCACGCCCATAATGGTGGGGGGTAGGGTGCCTCGCATCGGCGTCTCCCCCCTCGCGACGCACCACGTGCGATTCCGATCGCACGCTATGGCAGTCCGCCAGCCAGCCCCCCCAACGGGTGTCGCGAAGGATAGGGCTTGGATGCCGGGGTATCAACTTGCATATCCAGCATCGCCCTCACCACCGTGAGGGCAATCATATCACGCCGCAAAGACTGCAGCAAAGCTAAGTCAGGGGCCTATTGAAGATCCCCCTCCACCACCTTCTGGAGAGTCGAGGCGGCGGCTGCCCCCGCCGCGAGCCTCCCGCCTCCCCCACCCTTGGCAAATGAAGTGGATGGCCACATTTGACTCGGGCCAGACGTACGTTGTACCACCGCATCTGCCCCCCACCCCCCCCAATGATAAACCTGTTTTTTGTCGTCGTTGTTTATACATTTTTTCAGCTGTTCCATCAACAAATAACACGTGTTGGTGCGCGCCCTTGCTTGCGCCAGGCTAGTGAAATTGGTCATGTTTAGCGCCGCCGTTCACATGGCCTGCTTCGGGACCCTGTCCAAGCTAAAGTTCGCCGTTGGGGCGGTTCAGGTGAAACACGACATGGAGGGGGGTTGGAGTCGGAAGATAGCAGCAGCCAGTGTTTGGTATTGTAGGTGCATGTTTCTGCGATTTGTTTTTCAAACTCATCCCCTCCCCACGGTCCTAATTTTGTGTCATGTTCCTGAGTCGATGGGGTGTTCGCAATGGCACCATCAGCATCGCCTCAAGCTCGTAACATATACTCCGTAGTAGATACACTGCCTTGTTCATCCCGCAAATACCCAACCCATGACGGATCTGGTTTGGCACAGAAAGCGCAAGGGTGATGACCAGCTTCTGGTTCATCCTTGGTAAATATAGCCTGGGCCGGCGAAAAACAGACTTATCGCTCCTTCGTCCCGCCGATGGTAGGGACGCGACGTCAATGGTCTACCGACCACGACATCCGTTTACATGAGTACACCCCTCGCCCTGCTGGTGTGTTTTGTTCCTCGATGGGCGTTCCCAGCGGCAACTTCAATATCAAGCCTGTACAACACGAGTAGAAACGCCGCCTCGCTCATGCCGCGCGACCCTCCATGTTGATATGATCTCCGCCTGGGGAGTCCCCCCGACGACGTTGCCGTTCCTCCTTTTGCCCTGTGTTTGCTCGTGCTTTCAGGACGCCGGTCTGATATTCCTGTCTGCAATATCGTCGTCGGTGGTAGCCTTTTCTAGAGAGCAAGGAGTGGATGAGGCTGGTATGCTCAGCACCGGTGAGTCTCTTGCTAATGTAGTGTCTGCAGTAGTTGTTTTTTTTACGGAGCCCCCCCCCCGCCGGCAGTGTGTCAGCCGTCGTTTTTCAAGCGTTGCGGCTAGCGGCGACATGGCGAGTACCGCGGTTTTCTTTCTTCTACTTGAGTTCTTTGCAGCACGCCCGCCGAGAGCTCTGGGGCGCCACTGTAGAGTCCATGAAACCCTCGTTGCGCTGTCCTACCAGGCAGGGGGGAGGGAGTAGGATGAAGGGGCTGGATGAGGACCGCCGTGTAGCATGTATGCCACCTGGGTGAACACGTTGTGGTAAAAGTAAAATAGGGGGGAAGTAGCTGTGGCCATGGTAGTGGAGTAATCGAGCTTTGAAAGTCGGTTCGCTGGGGGGGTGATATCTTGTGTCATGTCACATACGGTCGTTGCATGACATCGCCGTCCTCCGCGAACACTCGAGGTGCGCGGGAGAGGTTCTGGATGACAACACACACGGCGCACGTGATCTTGTTTAGGTATGTATCGTTCACCTCGAAGGATCTTTGATTCACACGATTTGGGGGACGTCGCGTTCCTTAACGTGATAATCACCCAGTCGCTTGGCCCACACCCAAACCGCCTCGACGGGACCAAACCAGCCATGGCGCTTGCTTCACATGTGTGACCCCCCACAGGGGGAGGGCCGTGACGCCAAGTCACTGTTGTTGTTGTCGAAAAAATCTGGTTGCTCGTCTTTCGGTGATCCTTGTCGACGTGCTCTGGTGATGGAATTGCGTGCTATCGCCATTGTCCCTCGCTCGGCATAGCTCTCGGCTTGTACAATTTATCTTGACTCGCCCAAGAGGGTTGACACTGTTTTCAATTAGAGGGTTGGTTTTACCGCCCACCTTTCTCACTGTTTTGGGGGGGGTTACCGTAGGTGACACAAGATCCCACACACCATGGACCGATTTTCAAGGCTTGACTACTCCGCAGCAGAAAGAGTGGCAATGCCGAAAATGTCGGCGTTGGAACCATCCCGTCGAGATCTTTCCCAATGCGTATCAATATGAGTTGGCATCCTCTTCTTCTAGGAGTAGTGGAGCTTTGAAAATCGGTCCAG